AGTTGAAAATAGAGCTACCATACGACCCAGCAATTGCACTACTGGTAGTTGCCCCAAAGAGACAAATGTAGGGATCCGAAGGGGTAAATGCACCCCGATGTTTATAGCAGCAATGTCCACAATAGTCAAACTATGGAAAGAGCCAAGATGTCCATGGACAGATGAATGGATGAAGAAGAGTGGTATATATATATACAATGGAATATTATGCAGCCATCAAAAGGAATGAAATCTTGCCATTTGCAATGATTGGATGGAACTGGAGGGTACTATGCTGAGTGAAATAAGTCAATCAGAGAAAGACATGTATCATATGATCTCACTGATATGAGGAATTCTTAATGTCAGGAAACAAACTGAGGGTTGCTGGAGTGATGGGGGTGGGAGGGATGGGGTGGCTGTGTGATAGACATTCGGAGGTGCTATGGTGAGCACTGTAAATTGTGTAAGACTGTTGAATCACAGACTTGTACCTCTGAAACAAATAATACATTATATGTTAAAAATAAAAAGAAGATAGTAGGAAGGGAGAAATGAAGGGGGGGAAATCGGAGGGGGAGATGAACCATGAGAGACTATGGACTCTGAGAAAAAACTGAGGGTTCTAGAGGGGAGGGGGTTGGGGGGATGAGTTAGCCTGGTGATGGGTATTAAAGAGGGCACGTACTGAATGGAGCACTGTGTGTTATATGCAAACAATGAATCATGGAACACTACATCAAAAACTAATGAAGTAATGTATCATGATTAACATAATAAAAAATAAGTAAAATGCAAGCTGAAGAGGTTCATCCATATGCAAAGACAAAAGCAGAGCTATTTACCATCGGGAACAAGGGACGGAGCTTCTTGGAGCCAACAAACATTCCCGGTGACATGGGGGGTGCCTTCCAGGGATCTCCCCCGTGATGAAGTCTTCTGAATCTTAAAGATTTTTGGTCTGTGTAGACAGTGAGCATGTTTTTCTTCTCCTTCCCTTCACATGAACCTTTTGCATATTAGGGAATAAAATAGATTACCCCCCCCAAAAGTATTCAAATTGGCAAAGAAGAAGTCAAACTCTCTCTTTTCACAGATGACATGATACTTTATGTGGAAAATCCAAAAGACTCCACCCCCAAATTACTAGAACTCATACAGCAATTCAGTAATGTGGCAGGATAAAAAATCAAACAGAAATCAGTTGCTTTCTTATACACTAACAACGCAACTGTAGAAAGAGAAATTAGAGAAACGATTCCATTTACAATAGCACCAAAAACCATACGATACCTTGGAATACACCTAACCAAAGAGGTAAAGGATCTATACTCCAGGAACTACAGAACACTCATGAAAGAAATTGAAGAAGACACAAAAAGATGGAAAAATATTCCACGCTCATGGATCAGAAGAATAAACACTGTTGAAATGTCTATGCGACTCAGAGCAATCTGTACCTTCTGTGCTATCCCGACCAAAATTCCAGTGACATTTTTCCAAGTGCTGGAATAAACAATCCTAAAATTTGTATGGAATCAGAAAAGACCCCGAATTGCCAAGGAAATGTTGAAAAAGAAAAACAAAGCTGGGGGCATCACATTGCCGGATTTCAAGCTATATTACAAAGCAGTGATCACCAAGACAGCATGGTACTGGCACAAAAATAGACATATAGACCAATGGAACAGAATATATAGCTCAGAAATGGATCCTCAACTCTATGGTCAACTAATCTTTGACAAAGCAGGAAACAATGTCCAATGGAGAAAAGACAGTCTCTTCAACAAATGGTGTTGTGAAAATTGGACAGCCACATGCAGAAGAATGAATCTGGACCATTTCTTTACACCACACACAAAAATAGGCTCAAAATGGATGAAAGACTTAAACGTGAGACCAAAATCCATCAAAATTCTTGAGGAGAACACAGGCAGCAACCCCTTCAACCTCAGCCACAGCAAATTCTTCCTAGACATATCGCCAAAGGCAAGGGAAATAAGGGCAAAAATGAACTATTGGGACTTCATCAAGATAAAAACCTTTTGCACAGCAAAGGAAACAGTCAACAAAACAAAAAGACAACTGACAGAATGGGAGAAGATATTTGCAAATGACATATCAGCTAAAGGGCTAGTATCCAAAATCTATAAAGAACTTATCAAACTCAACACCCAAAGAACAAATGATCCAATCAAGAAATGGGCAGAAGACATGAACAGACATTTCTCCAAAGAAGACATCCAAATGGCCAGAAGACACATGAAAAAGTGCTTAACATCACTCAGGATCAGGGAAATCCAAATCAAAACCTCAATGAGATACCAACTCACGTCAGTCAGAATGGCTAAAATTAACCAGTCAGGAAATGAAGATGTTGGTGAGGATGCAGAGAAAGGGGAACCCTCCTACACTGTTGGTGGGAATGCAAGCTGGTGCAGCCACTCTGGAAAACAGTATGGAGGTTCCTCAAAAAGTTGAAAATAGAGCTACCATACGACCCAGCAATTGCACTACTGGGTATTTACCCCCAAGATACAAATGTAGTGATCTGAGGGGGAAACTTCACCCCAATGTTTAGAGCAGCAATGTCCACAATAGCCAAACTATGGAAAGAACTTAGATGTCCATCAGCAGACGAATGGATAAAGAAGAGTGGTATATATATACACTGGAATATTATGCAGCCATCAAAAACCCTGAAATCTTGCCATTTTTAACAACATGGATGGAACTAGAAGGTATTATGCTAAGCAAAATAAGTTAATCAGAGAAAGACAATTATCATTTGATTTCACTGATATGAGGAATTTGAGAAGCAAGTCAGAGGATCACAGGGGAAGGAGGGAAAAATGAAACAAGACAAAACCAGAGAGGAAGACAAACCACAAAAAACTCTTAATCTCAGGAAACAAACTGATGGTTGCTGTGGTGGAAGGGGGGTGGGAGGGATGGGGTGGCTGGGTGATGGACATTGGGGAGGGTATGTGCTATGGTGAGCATTGTGAATTGTGTAAAACTGATGAATCACAGACGTGTACCCCTGAAACAAATAACACATTATATGTTAATAATAAAAAAAAGATTCCAAGCTCAACCAGAGATGGGAGAAGAGAGATGACTTCCTCCATCTCTGGCTTTTGTTCCATTCAGGTCCTCATGGATTGGGTGAGGCACACCCACTTTAGGGACAGTAATCTACTGTATTGAACCCACCAGTTCAAATTCTAAACTCAGCCAGGAACACCCTCACAGGGACAACCAGAAATAATGTTTCATCTGGGCATCCCCAGACTCACTCAGGTTGACACATTAATGTAACCATCACAATGACCATCTTTTCTGATTCCCCACCTGAGAATGAGTTTTTTTGCGATGACATAGCACTTCCAGTGCTAAAATGGAGAAACTCCTGGTAACGTGACTAGAGTTGGTCACAACTCAGGTCTTCTGATGCCTAAGCCTAGCTTCATTCAGTTGTTCAAACAATTCATAGATATATTTGTTAATTTTTCAACTAATTAATTTATTTTTATATTAATACTGATCCAATTTAACTAGAACTCCAGCTAGACACTGGTTGCTCACCAGGTAAAACACTGTGTTTGACTTTCCTGAGGAAAAGGGAACACATCCATAAGCTATCTCTTCATTCTAGAAGAAAAGGAGCCATCTTGGAAAGAGCTCTTGCTAATGGGGACAGAGTCTCCTCATTTTTTTGTTGCTGAGTTGAAAAGTTGGGAAGAGTCCCAATCTGGGACCAGAGCTCAAAGGCAAAGAGGGAGCCGTCACTGTACCGAACCAGATGCAGTGTTGCCTTAGGATGTTATGGTGATCAAGGAGAGGAGATGAGTGAGAACTGAATTCTCAAGACCATGCTGCATGAAGCCTTCTCTACACAGGGTTGGGGAAGCATCTTCAGAGCAAGGGGCGAGCCTGTGAACACAGGACAGGTTTTGTCTCACTTTCTCATAACGTTGGACCACTGTGGAATGTGCCACTACCAGCAGTAATAATGAGCCTCATCTTTAGCCTGGAGTGTGTAGATGGTCAGGGAGGCTGTTTTTCCAGACTTGGAGCCAGAATAGCGATCAGGGATCTCTGAGGGCCAAGTATTAGTATATTAAATCAGGAGTTTCGAAGTCATGCCTGGGTGCTTTTGGCACCAGGAGATTTCATTATTACTCCCAATGTCACTTCCAGCACAGGAGATAGTGACAGGCTTTCCCAGATTCCCAGAGAATGAGAGAGGCTGAGTCAGGTTAGACTGAGCCCAGGACCTTAAGAAGGAAGAACACACACTGCTGAGTTTAGTCCTGGGGCCTTAAATAAACAGAAGAAAGGAAGACAAAGGATCAGCCCACATGTCCCTGTGGTCCCTTTCATGGAGGCTCATCAGTGCCCTGAGTAAGGAAGGTGAGGAGGACCAGAGCCCAGGCCATGGTGGAGACACCCCAGGAACACTGACTTCTGAGATGCCTACCCTAGTCCTGGCTCTCCCAGATCTCCCTTATCCCCTCTCCTTGCCTCAGAGAAGGGAGGGAATTCCATGCAAATGTGGTTCATGTACCTGACTCTCCTCACCCACTCCAATCTGAGCCTTCATTCTAGATACTTCTGCATCCCAGGTCAGCAGAACATAGCTGAAGTATTAAAACACGTGGACATGGATTTTCTAGGAAAGACCTCATGTTAGTGCCCAGGAAATGGAGCCAGATTTGAAATGTGCCTTAGTTCCTCATGTGGGAGTCTCCATATAGTTGAGAACTTATCCCAGAACTTACCCTTTGTGCTGTGTGGCTTGATGGTAGGAACAGGACCCTGAAGGGCTGGAATTAGGAGAGATTCACCCTTTCCTTTGTAGGCACCAAAAACAGAGATGAAGTTGTTCACATGCCTCACAGCCTTCCTCTCCTCCTCAGTAGGGTGGGTTCCCATGCTTCTCTTCGTCCCCTTCCTCACAGCACTCTGAGCCTGAGTCTTGGAGGTGGGTGTTTGTTGGACTCTTGAGTAAGAACTTATTGAGACATGATAGATTTGGATCACGCCTCAAACATGGTCGTCCTTTGCAGGACTCAAGAGAAATCAGCAGTTGGGACTTCATACAGGTCAGGCAGGGTAAATGACAGTCATGACCTTGCCCAAATCCAGGCCCTTGCTACCCAGGGAAGTCAGGTGAGTGAGAGCTGGAATCCCTACTCTGCTCCTTCTCCTCCCTCCTCCTTCCCTTCCCAGTCAGTACCAAGTCCTTAGATCCCCCGTCAATCCATTAGAGTTCCTTTGTCTTTGTCTTCATCTTCCTCAGGAATAGATTGGGTCGCCTACCACGTGGTGGCTCAGACCTGCCTCTCAGGCCACGTAGCTTGTTCCCCTGCACAGCCTTGTCACAGGGTTTGTGTTAGGGGGACAGTTCTTGACTCAGGGCCAAGGTAGTGTTAGAGGTCAAATAAAACCAACCCTTGAAGGAAGTCTGGATGAGAACAATGGCATGGGGAGAAAAAAAGAATGGTTTCTCACAAGGTGGATACCAAAAACACTGCACGAAGGGTAGAGTGCTCAATCAACATTGAGAAAAACCTAAAGAAAACAGTGATTTAGTTTTCCAGTGTTTGTGGATCTGGTAGAAGGCAACTGGGGTCAGGATTACTGTAAAGAGCTCAACTCCAGGAACCTCTTATCAGAGTGCATTTCTCTGTCTCTTACATGGGACAGAGGACATTCTTGTCTTAATCTTCGCTGCACAGAGACTAACTCACCTCAGAGCTGTACCCCTTCGTGAGGTAAATTTCTCTCCATCCAGAGAGATATAGTCTTTGTACAGCCTTCCACAAATATGAGGGACTAACTCAGGTCTTTATTCTGTGTCTTCAAAAGCGGATGCACCTTCTCACTGTGGTGTGACCAAGTTGCTTAGGGGTCAATGTGTGGCACATTTCCAGCCTACAGACTAAAGCATGAAGGTATTGACCATTTATTGGGGAAAGAAAGTAGGCAACTGAAAAGAGATTTGGAAAATTAAGTAAGGAGAGAACATAATGAGAGAGACTGAGTTCTCAGGAAAGCTGACCATGCATCCTGATTTGTCCCAGAGTGAGGGCATTGCCAAGATATGGCAGTTTCACTGCTAAAACTAGGAAAATTCTGGCAGACTGAGAACAATTGGTTATTGAAACAGGTTTTCTCTGGTCTACACCAGGTTCAATTAATGGATAGAGAATCCTTGGACATATATTATGTGTATCTGTATTTAGTGATTTGTCATAACTGGGATTCCAGGTAGAACTTGGGCTAGCTCCTTATGAAAATCAGATATAATGGGGTTCCCTGAGGAATGGAGACAAGCCTTTTCTTCCCAGGTGGAAAATGGAACCATGTTGGAAAGAGCCCACACTGTCAGGGAGACAGGGCTGAATCCTGATAGGGATTCATTGGTCTGAGGGGAGGGGAGCTTCCACATACCATAGAGTCTCAATCCAAATCCCCCTACTCAGCTTCCTTATGTATGGAGTCAAAAATGAAGGGGCACTGGAAAAACAACATCTTCCTTTTCTACTCATTCCTTCATCTAGATCTTCAGCTTTTCACTGAGTTGCTTTTTTCTCAAACACTGACATACAGAACAATATCTCACCAAAGTGGATCATGTTGACTAGAGTATGACAGACACTGAGTTGAGTAAGACATGGTCATTTCTGGATAAATGATTCCAACCTGGACTAACAGGAGTGAGAGGCTGTCATTTAAAGCAAGGATGTCCCTCTCTGAAAAACAGACTGAGGGTTCTAGAGGGGAGGGGAGTGGGGAGATGGGTTAGCCTGGTGATCGGTGTTGAGGGGGGCACGTTCTGCGTGGAGCACTGGGTGTTATGCACAAACAATGAATCATGGAACACTACATCAAAAACTAATGATGTAATGTATGGTGATTAACATAACAATAAAAAATTATTAAAAAAAATAAAGCAAGGATGTCCCTGAGAACTGTGAACATTATACAGAGCACATGTATCTTTGTCCCTCTCTTCCTGCCATCGAGGAATGGAAAGATCATCTTCTGGGAACATGTCAAGGAACAAAGAGCCTGTCAATTTCCCCAGACAATTTACCAAGAAGCCTGTTTCATTTTACTACATTGCAGGAGGGAGAGGACCTGAGAGAGAACTGAATTCTTGAGGCCATATTGCACAAAACCCTCTCTGTACATGGTTAGGAGAGGGTTTTGTGCAAGGAGAGAGCCTGTGAGCACAGGACAGGTTTTGGTTTTACCTCCCCATGAACTTGGACCACTGTGATAAGTGCTACCACTTCTATATGAGGCACAGTAATAATCAGCTCATCTTCAGCCTGGAGCCTAGAGATGGTCAGGGAGGCCGTGTTGCCAGACTTGGAGCCAGAGAAGCGATCAGGGATCCCTGATGGACGTGAACTTACACTATAAGTCAGGAGTTTGGGGGACATGTCTGGGAGCTGTTGATACCAGGAGACATCATTATACCTCACAATGTCATTGCTGGTTCCAGTGCAAGAGATGGTAACTGTCTGTCCCAGAGCCCCAGACACTGAGGACGGCTGAGTCGGGGAGGACTGGGCCCAAGACCCTGAAAAAGAAAGAACACAATCCAGTGAGTTTAGTGGGTGGGCCCCAGGTAAGTCTGAGGAGGAGATAAATGATGAGCTCAGATGTCCTTGTGCTTCCTTTCCTGGAGGTCTCACCTGTGTCCTGAGTGAAGAGGTTGAGAAGTAACAGAGCCCAGGCTATGGTGGAGGCACCCCAAGAGCACTGCCTTTTGAGACCCCAACCCTGGGTCTGGCTCCCCCATAACTCTCTTATCCCCTCCCCCTACCTCAGAAGTGGGAGGGGCCTCCATGCAAATGTGCTTCCTGACCTGCCTTTCTTCACCCACTCTGACCTGAATCTCTATTCTAGATACTTCTGCATCCCTGAGCAAGAGAGCTTAGCTATCCAGACACTAAAACATTTCACATGCATTTTCTCAATCATGAGAGACAGAGCCCATGACACACCCCAGGAATTCAAGCCAGTCTTGGAATATCCTTACCTTCCACTGGGGAAATCTTGGTGTGGATGGGGGAGGAATCCCAGGACCACGTTGCTGTGTGGGAGGAGGGTAAGAAGAGCTCTCCAGGCTGGATGAAATGAGGGGAGATTCAATTACTCCTCTTCCCAGGAGCACAGGCAGAGCTGAGGTCTCATTCTCCCTCAACTCCATCTTGGTGCCACTCAGTTAACTTGTCCTCAAGCATCACTCTAACCTGTTCTACAATGGTTTGAGGTTAGGAGATGTTTGCTGGAACTTCCATAAAAGCAGCTGTTGGAACACAATAGATATTAGGCCCCTCTTCCCTGTGTCCCACTTAGAGTGCTTCCAGAAAGAGGTATCGGAACTGCATACAGGATAGGAGAACAACAAAAGTTGCTTTTCCCCAAATTCAATCCATCACTGCCCCCTAGTGACCTTAGAGGATAAATGCCAAGCACCAGGGAAGGCAGCTGAGAGAGCTGGAAACCCATGCTCTGCTCCTCTTCCTGCCTACCCTCCAAACCCTCCCCGCTCAGTCCCAGGCCCCCTAGTCCCTTTTGGTGCAATTCAAGATTCAACAATTCCTCCAGAATGAATATGGTACCTGAAAATCGAGTGGCCTTGATGCTCCTTCTCTGAATCACCTTGCTCATGCCAGGAAGGCTATGTCACAGAGATAGACTCTATCCCTGTGGATGTGGCCAGACTTGGACTCTATGAGGTGGATGCGGCTCAGGGCTGAGGAAACCTCATACATTTAATTAATCCAACCCCAGTCAGTATGAGGATGACAAAAGAGAGACATTGAGAAAATGATTGAATTCTCCACAGGATTAGAAAACAAGAATAATGCAAGAAAGAGAGAGTTAAGTAGGGTGTAGAAATACATCATCTTGAAATCAAGAAAAGGATTCCAGGGTCTGAGGCTCTGGGAGAAGGGGACAGGAGTCAAGATTGGCCTCAGGTGCCCAGCTCCAGGAACTTCTCACCAGGGCAAGTTTGTGTGCCACAGGGGACACAGGATGCTCTCTGTCTGCCCCTTTCTGCACATTTGTGACCTGACCTACAGCTACGCCCTTCCTGGGGCAAAGTCTCCTCATCCACAGAGAGATGCTTGTGTGTTTTTCTAGGAGGAGGTGGATTTGTAGAAAAACTGATCAGGACTGACAGATCTTTCCAGGAATTTTATGGAATGGAGATACTCTGATGACACTCTTTACATCTCACTGTTCATACCACATCATGGGTGATTGCAAGATGTTCTCAAAAATGTGTCCTGGCCCAGAGCATGGGATGAACAGAGTTGTGGTCTCTGGGATGGGTGAAAATGAAAAGTGTTTTTTGGGAAAAAGAATAGTTTAGGTCGTGAGGTTATTGTTTGTGTGCTTTATTTTATTTATTTTTTATTATGTTATGTTAGTCACTATACAATACATCATTAGTTTTTGATGGAGTGTTCCATTATTCATTGTTTTCATGTAACACACAGTGCTCCATGCAATACATGCTCTCTAATACCCATCAGCAGGCTAACCCATCCTCCAAACCCGTCCCCTCTAAGATTGTTTCCAGGAGTATATAGTCTCTCATGGTCTCTCAAGGAACAAAGAAATTGTCAATTCCCCCAGACAATTCACCAGGAAGCCTGTTTCATTTTACTACATTGCAGGAGCGAGAGGACCTGCGACAGAACTGAATTCTCAAGGCCATATTGCACGAAGCCCCCTCTGCACATGGTTAGGATTGAGAAAGCATATTCAGAGCAAGGAGGGAGCCTGTGAGTACAGGACAGGTTTTGGCCTTACTTCCTCATAAACTTGGACCACTGTGATAAATACCACTGCTTTTACATGAGGCACAGTGATAATTAGCCTCATCCTCAGCCTAGAGCCCAGAGATGGTCAGGGAAGCTGTGTTGCCAGTCTTGGAGCCAGAGAAGCAATCAGGGATCCCTGATGGCCAAGTATTTACATTATAAATCAGAGCTTTGGGGGCCATGCCAGGATAATGTTGGTGTCAGGAGACAGCATTAACTCCCAGAGTCATTGCGTGTTCTAGCACAAGAGGTGGTAACTGTCTGTCCCAGGGAACCTGTCACTGAGGATGGCTGAGTCAGGGCAGACCAGACCCAGGACCCTGAAAAGAGGAAAAATACAATCATTAGCTAGGTCCTGGGGTCTCAGGTGAATCTGAGGAGGAGAGAAAGGATCAGCCCAGATGTCCCCATAGACCCTTCCCTGGAGGCCTCACCTGTGCCCTGAGTGAGGAGGGTAAGAAAGACTAGAGACCAGGCCATGGTGGAGACTCCTCAACAGCACTGCCTTCTGAGACCCCAATCCCAGGCATGTCTCCCCAGATCTCTATTATCTCCTCCCCCTGCCTCAGAAGAGGGAGGGCCCTCCATGCAAATGTGCTACCTGAACCTTGCTCTCCTCACCCCTCTGATCTGACCCTTCGTTCTAGATACTTCTGCATCCTTGGGCAGCAGACCTTAGCTGAATAGATTCAAACACTTTGACATGTATTTTCTGAATGTCAAGAATTTGAATTGTTATGCCTGATTTGTCCAGAAGAGAAAGATCTCCTGAAGCCCTCACGTTGAAGATTCCTGGACCCTCTGAGTTTTTGCAATACCATGACTATGTCTCTGTGATCATCCCAGGCTTGGGGCCCTTTCTTCTATGCCCTCTGCTAGGCACCAACTTCTGAGGATCTCTCTACTCTTAGGAAAGTGTCACTACCAGCCACAGTGGAAACATCTCTGAGTTGGTGTGTGGTGGTGGGCTCTCCTCCAGCTGCAGGCTTGTCACTCTCTCCACCCACACTTGTTTGTGCTGATGCACGTGCAACATTGAAACCCACTAGCTTGTCAGTCACCCCAGCTACTTATCCACATGCCACATGGAGGGTCAGGTACACAGGTGGAAGCGAACTCCATGAGGGGAAAAGGAGTACCTGCCAGGACATTCTGTACATTCCGCTCATGAACAAGCCGCTTGCCCTTCTTCAGCCTGAAATCTCAACCCGAGAAATGAAGAAGAAAGTTACACTGTCCATGGTACATGATCTATGGAGAGATGAATCAGAATAGGGATGTGCAGGTTTGATAATGGGACATTTCTCGGTGTCCAGGGGGTTATGTGATATACACTTTATATTATCCAGCGCTCATTCCATTTTATCTTTGATCCATTTGTCTGGCAATAGACACATGTTTTTTTCTACTCAGTTTTTCACCACCAGTCCACCCCCCGGTCACCATAAAACTATATCTCTGTGACCTTTGAACACTGAAGGAAAAGAAGCATTGTGGAATATCTCTTCCTATTTCTTTTCTGTGAAAGTTTTAAAATTGCTTTTCAATTTTCCCTCTTCTCTAATGCCTGGTTCAACAGGAAACATTGCCCAAATTGGAAGTACTATTATCCAGCTCAGGTTCCCTTTAAGACATAGTAAGCAGACACCAGCATTCCATCAATGAATGCTGCTGTAAACCTGGACATAATGCACGTGGGAGCTGTTTGAATCCCTAGAACAAATTCCTACAAGGCAGATTGGGAATGACATTGACATTGCAAGGAACTTATAAACAATGCTGACTTTCCTATTTTTGTTTAAGAGTCTTGCAAACTGCCCTCAAGGCAACTGGCAGCCATGACCAGGCACCAGCTTGAGACAGAAAGAAATCCAGAAATACCCTATTGTCCTAGCTTGACATGTGAGGAAGATGACTTTTAATACTCAGAGCAAGATTGGATATGCACTTTTTCTTTTCTTTTATAGTTTATTCTTCTCCTTCTCTATGCCCCTTCCCAAAGGGAATACTTCTACATTGAGAGAAATAACGGTAGTGGATTTGGGAACTTGCTTTTCTCACTTTAGGATTTTGGCCCAAAACACAATCCTCTCTGTCTTCGTGCAACATGGCCCAGACATCAGCACTGTCAGGAGAATTGCACAGCAGTGGAGAGAAGCCAAAGATCCAGGTTTCTGTCCACAAAACCAAAAGGAAGATCCAGGGAACTGGAAATACTGGGGAGATGGTAGAGAGAGAGTAGCCTGGGAAAGCAATGCTGTAAATTGTTTCTGAGTTCTTGGTTCATCTCTAAGTTGCACTTATGCAGTGTCTGATGCTAAGGAGGATGAAAGATGTGGGGAAGAGAACTGAGGAAGGGACTTCCACTGACATCCCAGATGTGACCTGTGGAGCTCACTGTGTAGCTTCCACTTAGGACAGATGCAAATAGCAGAACAAGGGTTTTGCAAACTTTCTGACACAGAAATCACATTCCACAGAAGGCTTTTGGAAACTAGGAGCCTGGAACTGATTGGGTCAAGTATCTGCTAAAACAAAACCTTCACTTGGGATTTACACAGGAATCATGGTTTCATAACACTGGATAGATTCAGGACAGGTGCCAAAATTACTCAATATATGAAAAAAGGAAAATCTCAAATGGCATGAAAAAGAAATTTAGAGATACTTAGCCCAATAGGACAGTTAATTTGGATTTTCTCACAAAGACTTTACACCAGCTGCTTAAAAGTTGCCAAAAAAAGAATTTCTCTGATAATTACTGGAGAGATAAAACATCTCAGCCAAGAAATAGGAGACATAATGAAGCACATATAAAAAGTACACTATATGGAACTGACTACAGACTGGAAAATAAAACACTAGTGACCTCAGGGTCATAGCAAAGAAAAGTGTGCAATCTAAAATACGGAGGGAAAAAATTTTAGAGATCAAAAATTATCAAGGAACTGTGGAACTTCCTCAAGTGCCCCAAAATAATAGTAGGATCCTAAAAGAGGAGACAAAGAGAAATACAAGGAAACATGTGCTTCCAGATGCTGAACAAAGCCCAAGGACAAGAAACATGAAGAAAACCACGTCAAGGCACATTTTATCTGATTCTTGGTTGTGTGGACCCTTTTCCGGACAAGTGTTTGACTTGAGCAACTATTCATTTCTTAGTAAAACATCAACCAAGGAATTTTGTTCCCTCATGATTCTCAACTGGTCATGAGTATGGAAATGATGGTGGTGATGAATGCAAAAATTAGAATGAGTGCAAGTTATTACATAAGAAGATAAGTCTCCTCATCCCCTCTCCCTACTGTAGTAAGCCTAATAGTCCATGTTCTACCAGCCCCTCCCCAAACAGATTTGTCTCAGCAGAGCATAAAACACACCTGTCTGGATCAGGGGGATCCAAGTAGAGTTGGATTAGGGGAATCCAAGTAGAGTTGGCAGTGTGCTATTAGGATGAGAACATGGGGCTTATATAGATGTTGAAATCTGGGATGACCTCCCTCAGGCAATCATCCCCTTTTCCGACTCTTCCTCATGAAACCAAAAAGCTCATCCATGAGGAAACTGACATCACTAAGGGGCTGGCAACACTGAAAGCAACTTGAAATGCTTGTGTGTCTCTAGCCTGGATTCCTTTTTGGTACTTTCCAGTCTGATCTAGGTTTGTCTTAACATGACAAGGCACCAATATCATGGTCAGTCAAGAGTACTCCCTCTCTCTCCCTCCCAGAGAAGTGTTCAGGGACTTCTCTGGGAGAAAATGCTGAGCGAGATAGCAGAGAACTTGGGAGTCCTTACCTCTGACAGTATTTCTGCCAGATATTTAATAACTGGTTCACATAGAACAAGAACAGATGCCCAGTTCTAGAGGTCTCTCATCTTTTCCCAGGACCTCTTCAGTAGGTGATGTGCTAAACTCCCAGGAAGCTCAACCAACACTGACCTTGAGGCTCTCTTAAGCTTAATGTCTCCTGGGTTCTCCACTAATGGACACATTGTCCTTTCCTTTCTCAGCTAGTTTGTTGCTTTTGACTCACTGTTTCAAATTCCCAAAAGTTTGGGGCTGCATACCTTGGTGCCAACAATGGGTAGAAGATGAAAGGGATGATTAACGCCAAAGTCAGTATACTAGCTAATTCTAGATTGGGTAGATGGCTGTGTTTGTTTTTTTGTTTTTTAAGATGGCTATGCTTTGAGTGGGTAGATGGGTTTTCCATTTATTATTCTTTCTAAAACTGTAAATATTTTATGCACTCTTGTTTAGCTATGATAAGCTTCATAATAAAAAGAATTGGGAGGGGCGCCTGGGTGGCTCAGATGGTTAAGCGTCTGCCTTCGGCTCAGGTCATGATCCCGGGGTCCTGGGATTGAGCCCCACATCAGGCTCCCTGCTGAGCAGGGAGCCTGTTTCTCCCTCTCCCTCTGTCTCTGCCTGCTGCTCCCCCTGTTTGTACTCTCTCTTTCTCTCTGTCAAATAAAAAAAAAAAATTTGGAAAACAAACTCTAATATACCTGAGCACTTTTCCTGTCCTTTACATAGAGCAGACTGTGAACAAATATAAAAGAGAAAGTTGCCATGAGTAACTGGAGGAAAAAGGGGAAAGAACTGCCCACCTGGGGATTTTGCTCTTCATGGAAATAAATACACACAGATTCCATGAGAAAACTACTGGAAAAGAAAAAGAGCCAATGGCTGGACAAAACTGCTCTCCAGTGGTTCTGATGAAGCTGAGGTCTGTGACCTCCCTCCCAGCTCACCCCAGCATGTTCAGGGAAGATCCAGAAGGCGGGGGAAAAGGAAGAAAAGGTGAGCCTGAATGTGGAATAGTTTGGAGGCACAAAGACAAGGCAGGAATATGCCAGGCTGCCTCCTGAGTAATTCCCTACAAATGTGCCTTGACTGTGTAATAGTAAAGACAATCTAAGAATGGGGGCGGGGGAGGGGAAGAAATTGTCTCTGATCACAAAGAAAGGAAGGCCGCCCCCTCCTTTCCTTTTACCTTAGAAAACATGAGTTGTAAATTCTTTCTCTGCCTCCCTTAAATTATATACACGTCTGGTTCATAGGTAAATAAGACTCTTGTCAGGTTTACAACCAAGGAATCTTTTTCTCAAAGACCTGAGACTCTTTGCTTTGAAAAGAAAACATCAAGGAAGACAGTGTCCCCATTTACAGTTTCTTTGGGAAGAGCAGGGGCCTAACATCACTGGGAACCCGGCTCCAAGTTGGAAACCTATCTCCTGGCATGAAGTTGTAAGAAATTTATTTTCCCTAGAAATTTTGGATAATGACCCCTTATGGGATGTATATGTTATAAATATTCTCTCCCACTCCATAGGTTGTCTTCACTTTGTAAAATCCCCAGACATCCTACTCCACTGGTGAAGTTTTGTTGGATCACAGGCCACAAGGAAACCCACCCTCTCTCCTACCAGCGTGAGCACTGGAAGAATTTAGAGTGAGACTTCCTCCAAGAACAGCAGGAGTACACTTAGCGGGGGTTTCCACTACTCTGCTC